GGGGGGGGTGATTCCAGCAGAAGAACTGAACAACACTTTAATCTTGATCAGCTCTGATGTTGGTGTTTCTCTGTGAGCAGATTCTTGGTCAGCCGTCGACAGAACGACCTTTTCTTTCTCTGGTATTTTATCTTGTAGCTAATAGTGTTTTCAGGTTGGTTTGATCCTGGCGGAGCAGAGGTGAGACACCTGAACCCTCTGTGTTTACATGAGGACATGAACAGACAGGGAGCTGCTGTGCTCCTCCACAGCAGCTCCTCCTCCTGAGATCTTTATCTGCTCTCTGACTGTGGACACAAACGCATCACAGCTTCTATTCAATGTCTCTGCAAACAGACCGGGGCTGAGCTCTGGTCTGTGCTCTGGTCTGTGCTGGAACACTGTGTCCTCTGGCACACACACACACACACACACACACACACACACACACCAAGAGCTTTGAAACAATGGCGCCTCAGTGTTTCCTGGACCCACATTCAGCCTCTGGCTCAGATTAGCTCCAACGACAACAACAACAACGTGAACAGCTATTGTGTCAACCGTCAGCTCTGGCACCACCTGAGGGTCAACAGGAAGTGAGGTGGCAGCTCAGCTCTCTGTAGTCTGGTGAAGAACCTGAGGTTCCACCAGGAAACAGGCTTCAATAAAACAGTCAGTCTTCCATTCAGAAGTCCATAGAGAAAATCAGTGATTTTAGCCACAGACTCTCAGCAGTCGTTCGTCCACTGCTGAGTCTCTGAGCTCAAATATGTTATTTTGTCACTTCACTGCTCAAAATCTATAATCTTGTTCAGATTAGACTCAGATTAGATTAGTGACACAAACTGACCGGTGACGAGGGGGGAGTGTGGAGGGGAGCGGGGGGGAGTCAGACGTTAAAAAAGCCATAGGTTGGTGTATTTTATTCAAATGACTAACTTATTATTTATTGTACAGGCCTCTGAATGTGAGGCTGGCTGTAACAGCAGAGGGCGCTCTAGGTCTGGTCAGTGAGTCATGATGACGTTGTGAATAAAAACTGAAATGTTCCTTTAACTCTCAGATCCATGAACTCTGCTGACATCTCTGCCTGGAAATTAGGGAACAACCATGTACTTTGGACAAAGTTAATATTTGCTTCGTGTTGCTCAATCGCACGCCCCCCCCTCTCTCTCTCCCTCACACAAACACACACACACACACACACACTAAACAATTTCCTTCAAGGACAGAAAAGTAACTTTCACAGTCGGAGGAGCGTCTTTGTTTCAGAGTCAAACCTGTGAACTAGTCCTTTAATTCCTTCAGCTGCCTCCTCTGTGAGTGCTGCTCAACCTGAGGGTCGGTGTCACCGCTGGGCAGCGTGGTCGGTAATAACACTGTCAATAACAGACCCTATCAAAAACAGCATCACTACCAACAGTTAGCGCACACGTGGGCGAACGCTTGGCGTTAGCTAAGGTGGCGTTAGCTAAGGTGGCGTTAGCTAAGGTGGCGGAACGTTAGCTGTGAACGCAGTGAGACGTTGACGTTTTGTTTGGTCCATAAAAACAATCTGTGAACTCAAAGTCAGCCGACTGACTGACACCTCACTACTGGAACCATGACAACAGCGCCCTCTGGTGCTTCTGTTCATTAAAAAGAGTCTCACACAACAACACAACCACACACACATTCATGAGACAAATGAATGATGATTCTGTCGTGAAGGAAAATCAGATGTAAATGAATGTTCTCTTTACTGTACTCTAGTAGTACTCTAGTAGTACTCTAGTAGTACCCTAGGGAGTATTCTAAGGAGTATTTTAGGGTTGTAGTATTCTCCTCCCGGAGGTCATCTGAAGATCAGTCAAGTTTCTGTTCTTTATTCTTCTTACCGTCTGGTTGAAGTCGACGCTGCAGAGATGAAAACCACACGACAAAGACGAGAGGTGCCTCTGGCCAGCAGAGGGCAGCAGCGACTCTCTTATCAAATCCTGAAACCAGAGGGAAATGATGATACAAAGGGTAAAAAGAAAAGTTGTTCTGAAAAAATGTTTTGATGTTTTTTATTATAACAGTTTGTAACGTGAAGTTCATTTGGTTCTGGACCGGACTCGAACCCATCTGTGGACTCTAACCTCTTCCTACTCCACTGCTGCCTTCACTGTGTTTCTGGGTGTGAGCCTGACAACCAGTGCACCCGTTTTCATCCTTAAAATCAAAGAGGAACGGGGACATGCAGTCGATTTCACCGTCTGTACTGACGTCGTCACCTCGTCTACATCCACCTTCAGGAAAACCACGGTACTGCACTGCCAGTTCTACAAACATGGAAATATGTTTTTGCAGAGTTGTCATCATGTGCGGCAGCTGTGACGTCCTCAGCTGCTGAGTGAGGTCATTATAATCTTTCACTTCGTAAAACCATCGTGTTTCAACAGAAACAACTCTTGGTCTGAGCTAAAATCTCTGATTTTCTCTATGGACTTTGGCATGGCAGAGTTAGCCAGTCAGAAAAACCAGTAAGATAAAGGTGTGCAGCGATCATTAAGACACTGTAGATTCTGCTCCAACATATTTACTGACCTGACAGCTGACAGTTCCACTGTTTACCACTGGATCGACTGATGGAAACCTCCACCTGATCACCTTTGTCCTGGTTCTCCAGCCAGGCAGAAATGATCCTGATGTTTATCTCACCTCTGTGCCTTCAGTGAAGCCACGCATCACTGAGGAAATACAACTGTTAAAGGTGTTGTTTCAGCAAGGGCTTGACATGAAACTGTATATACTGTACACAATGGAACTGTTGGACATGAGACACATTCAAAATACATCAGTGATTTTAGTTCAGACCAAAGTCCATGGAGAAAATCTGAGATTTTAGTTCAGACCAAAGTCCATGGAGAAAATCAGTGATTTTAGTTCAGACCAAAGTCAGTGGAGAAAATCAGAGATTTTAATTCAGACCAAATGCCATGGAGAAAATCAGAGATTTTAATTCAGACCAAATGCCATGGAGAAAATCAGAGATTTTAATTCAGACCAAAGTCCATGGAGAAAATCTGAGATTTTAGTTCAGACCAAAGTCCATGGAGAAAATCTGAGATTTTAGTTCAGACCAAAGTCCATGGAGAAAATCAGAGATTTTAGCTGTTGGATTGGAGCCACTGTTAGCTGTGCAGTCTTAATGTGTTTTCATTTTACAGCCTAGTCTCCTCCCTGTCCATTTGTTTGTGCAGTGATTTAATATTTAACTTTCTCTCTCACACACACACACACACACACACACACACAGACTAACCTGTCAGAGTCTTCATCCTCATCATCTTATTCCTGGCAGTGTTTGCAGAGATGGGACCTCGTACAGCAGGTGAGATCACAGAACAGTTTCCTTTAGTTTGATCTGCTTTAGGTCAGTGATGATGATGATGATGATGATGACACGTATCAGAACCAGTGTGTGTGTGTGTGTGTGTGTGTGTTTGTGTTGTGTATTAAAACATGAACAACCATACAATCATTTTCCCTCATCATTTCTTGTTGTCTGTATATGCTGATGATACCTTTCTC